CCCTCCCGCGGACTACAAGTCCCATTGTCGTCCACCCTGACACTGCTGGGTGGTCAGGTTTGAATCCTCAACCCTCCCGCGGACTACAAGTCCCAGTGTCGTCCACCCTGACACTGCTGGGTGGTCAGGTTTCCCAAATTAATTAATTCATGAGCCTCCAGCCAAGTTTCAAAAGAAACCCCGTCATTTATTAGGAGCCCCATTTTGGCAATGCCGCTTTGCAGTCAGATCTGAGCCTCGTTGGGATTCTAGCGGAACTTTACCCAGGTTCCTCCCCTCCCCTCTGTGTCGTAAATCACATTCCCCCAACGAACCCCTCACAAGCCTGCTGAAGTAATCCGAGATCCAACTCTAGCCGAAAATATCCGTGGAATGCACTCCCCCCTCCCGCTTTCCTCACCATGGCAACTTTATGAGTTGACGTGGGTATTATTGTCCGGCGTGTTTCAACCACTGAGCTGTACTCCTTGAACCCCGCGCCCGGTGTCTGAGACGGTTTTGAGAGGGATAAAAGATTCGGAGAAATGGGAATCCTGGAGACGTCGTCTTTTTCTCTTCTGGCTCAACAAATCTTGTTAAAGAAAACTCCGGGAATCTAGCTTGGCAGAGGAATCGCTTTGGGTTTCAGGCAGCCGGCACTGTCCCTCGGATTGACTGCTGCTTGCTGGCAGTGGGGGGAAGGCCCTTTGCACATGCTCTGGGGTACCCTTTGCTGTTTGTTTCGAAACGTAAAGCTTCCCAGACGCAAAACGTTGCAGTTCATTTTTGCCGGGATATCTCATATCTCGTCGAGGTCGGGCCTGGTGGCCTTTTCTCGCCGACGATCCTTCGGTTGGATCTGGGGTTCAGATCCTGCCTCCTCGGCTGTCTCTCCCACCACAGGGAGGTTTTTCACGTCCTCGCCGACGCGGGTGGTACGGAGTTCCGGGCGCAATTCCGCTTGAACGAGGGGCACTTCTAGATGATGGGCGGCGGACGGTGTCCCCGGCTCAGAAGCTTCCTTTTGGGTCAAGATATTTCGGGAAAGGACTGGTGGAGAAGACGCGGAGTGTTAAAATGGGGGCCTTTTCCAATTCCCCTCAGTTCAATTCTCTATTCTTTAATATTTTCTATTCTATATTGTTTTCAATTCTATATAATAGTTTGTACTTTATATTCTACCCTATTCTATAATATTTTCTGTTCTGTATTCTGCATATTATTATATTTTCTATCCTGTCCTGTTCTCTATTCTGCTTTACTTGAATTTCTATATTCTATTCTATTCTACTTTACTGTACTCTAATCTATTTTATAGTATTAATTCTATTCTATTCTATTCTTCATTTCAATATCCTATCCTATTCTATTCAATATATTCTATTCAATATATTCTACTCTATATTCCATAATATTCAATTTTATTCTATTCTATTTCTAATATATGTTTTAGTAATACATTTTTATTATTCCATTCTATTCTCTATTCTATAGTATTAAATCTATTCTATTCTTCATTTCAATATCCTATCCTATTCTATTCAATATATTCTATTCAATATATTCTACTCCATATTCCATAGTATTCAATTCAATTCTATTTTTAATATATGTTTTAGTAATACATTTTTATTATCATTCTATTCTATTCTCTATTTTATAGTATTAAATCTACTCCATATTCTTATTCTACTCTATTCTACTTTACTGTACTCTATTCTATAGCATTAAATCTATTCTATTCTTCATTTCAATATCCTATCCTATTCTATTCAATATATTCAATATATTATATTCAATATATTATATTCAACATATTATATTCAATGTATTCTACTCCATATTCCATAATTATTCTATTCTATTCTATTTTTAATATGTGTTTTAGTAATACATTTTTATTATCATTCCATTCTATTCAATATATTCTACATATTCCATAATATAATAATCTATTCTTCTCTAGCCACCTTTGGACAGGTTTATACGGACGAGAAAGATCAATTCAGGACCAGCAAACTAGTGTTTTTTCAGACGAAACCGAAGGACGATGGACTCAGTGGAGCCTCCATTTCCAGAGGCACGCTATCTTCGAACGGCGGGCGTCGAAAAGCAGGGGGCGCTGATACTCACCTCCTGACGGTTCCGGGTTCCCTCCGCCGACCTGGGACGCACCGTAAAACGAGGCCCAGGTGGGCCAGATGAAAAGGCCGAAGGAGACGAGGAGGATCTGGAGAGGGAAAGAGACGGGGATGATGGGAGCGGGAACCCCGGAGGCCCAGTGCTCAAAAGAGTGAAGGCCACCTACCACGAGGCATGTGCTGGTCTGGACTGCCTTGGTGGACGTCTGGGTGAAGAGACCCTGGAGGTTCTGTAACTGGTCCAGAAGGGACCTGCAAGAGAAGTTGGAAGCTTGGAAGGTCATCCCTCCACAGGAGCCCTGGACACTGACCGGGACGCAGCCACAGGCATGAGGCTAGCCCGGAGAACGTGGGGTCTGGAGCTGGGGGTGCATCCTGGACTTCCAGGTTCTAACAAGGAAGGTCTTTTCCCAGTCTTCCTCTTCGGTCTTAACCCTTCTGGTCTCACTCAAAGGTTTCAGGAAGGGAAGGGAAAGAAGGAAGGAAGGAAGGAAGATGATAGAAGGAAGGAAGAAAGATCATAGGTGAAAGGAAAGAAGGAAGGAAGATGGTGGAAGGAAGGAAGTTGATTGAGAGAAGGAAGGAAGAAGACAGAGGGAAGCAAGGAAGATAGATGATGGATTGAAGGAAGGAAAGAAGATGGTGGAACGAAGGAAGGAAGGAAGATGATGGACTGAAGGAAGGAAGGAGAAATCCACTCCCACAAACCAAGATTATTTTAATGGCACACATGATGGAAGGCATTGACTGAAGGAAACCTCCCTCTCTAGGAACAGTCTACCAGTACAAGACCAGAGGCTAAGAAAGACGTGTGTTGACTTGAGGGACAACTTCCAAGGACCCCTCTTCAAAATGTCTTCTGAAAGTAGAAACTTTGCGCCTGATAAAATTGCAGATCTAGTTCTGAGACACCCACCCCGCCACTCCCCAGTCAGCGTCTCTGGATTCTTGGGGGGGGGCAGCCAAGAATGGACCGAAAAGCGTTGGGGGGGGGGGGAAACCAGTGCCCCCAACTCACTCTTTGTGCTTCTCCAACTGTTGGACCTTTTTCTTGAGATCCTGGTTCTGTGCCGAGCAGGCAGCCACCCTGTGAAACAAACAGACAAGCCAACATGGGGTCTCCTTCCCAAATTTGCCCAGACTACAGTTCCCATCACAAGACCCCAAGCTGCTGTGGCGGATGGGAGAAAATGGGAGTTTTCCACCCCTTCCCTCGCTCCTCCGATCGCCATGAGGACTTTCGTTTCTTGAACCTCCGACGATGATTCCCAGAAGGCCCGGCTAAGGGGCCATGGCTGATGGGCATTGGAGTAGCAGCATCTCCCTGTGGCTGGGGATTCGGGATCCTGAAGAGATCCTGTTTCGGAGAGCCACGGATCCTCTCCTAACCATGATTGCGTCTGTATGTTGTGGCTCTCCAGCGGCCAGCGGAGGTGGCAGCAGATTCAGACAGTGAGGAGGGTTGGGGAGGAACCTGGGCCAGTCCTGGAATCTGGGGAAGGCTCGGACGAGGGCTCTGTGTCGGAGGCAGAGAGGGGGACAGGGCCGTCTGACAGTTATCAGCTGCCTTCGGAGTCGGACATCAGTGAGGCAGAAGAACAGCTGGAGCCTGTTCCCAGTGTGCG